ACAGAGACCATTGTTCATTTTCTGTTAGTCAATTCCAAATACTCTATAATGCTGTCATTCTCTTAAATGGTTTTACATTGTTTTGATATACTTAATGCTACAGTATATGAAGTTGTACTCAAGGACTTCAGGGAGGCAGTCAATATGGTAACTATTTTTAAGTCGGAAATATCTGGTGGTGAAACACTATTCTGCTTAAAAGGTTATGTTTTGATCTGCCCTGTTTCGCTGTTATGCCCTCTTTTTCTTTTTCTCAATCTCCACTCCATTATATACTTTTTTATTGTTATCCATTTAATTAAAGGGAAAAATATAGCAGGATATAATATAGTAACCCACTTTGACTTTCTATTTTCTCGATTTGAAGCCCTGTATTACTCTCACCATCTTGTTTTTGACTGAGGTTCCTCTATTCTGTTTTGCTGAATAGTATCAGGTTCGAAGGTTTAGGCATCAGCTGAGAAGATAATGAGATTCATTATAACGCCCATTCTCGTTGACTTCTATCTACTTTTGAAGACCTACAATATCTCCAATGTTTTGGTTTTGTCGGTTTTATCCTTTACGGTTTTGTTCAATAGTATTACAACTAACGATATAGGCAATTCTATTAGAAATAGCGGGAGGCATTAGGGTAACCATTGTTGATCACCTTGTATTATGTTTTTATATTATCTATTATATCCACCCTTTTGACTTGACCGATTCTGTTCTGTCATGTCACATTTGGTTTTACTCTCTTCCAAAAAAGCAATAAGAACAGTGGGAGCAATGAAACCCAAAATGTGTAATAGTCACTGTACAAAAGAGAGGAAAAGAAAATGCTCTAAACTATATAACTGCATGTATATTTAAATGTATAAGACAGAAAATGATATCACAGAGTTCTAATGGATCATTGAACAGAACTGTTTGCAGTATCATTGCTGGAATGTCCACTCTACAAACTTTAATTCTGTGACTTGAACAATTATTTCTAAGATGGCAATATGTAATCTATTAACTAGTGATTTCCTACTGCGCATTTTTTTTCTTCTGTAAATCTGTATAACTTGTACCCTTCACTGTTTTTTTTTTCTTTTCTTTTCTCCTTAAATAAAAATTAAAAAAAAAAAAAATTAAAAAAAAAAAAAAAAAAAAAAAAAAAAAAAAGAAAAAAAAGTAACTGAGACACCCAAGCTGGCCTCGAACTCACAGCAATCCTCCTGCCTCAGCCTCTTGAGTGCTGGAATTACAGGCATGTGCCACCACACTTAGCACTAGGATAATTGCTTTGCTCTCTGTCTCTCTCTTTCTCTGTTTCTCTCTTGGTTTTGAGGCTTTTTTTCCCTTTATTTTTTTCATTCAGGGTATCACTACGTAACCCAGGCTGGCCTGAAATACACAGTTCTCTCCAGTGCTGGGATTTCAGATTTGTGCCACCACACCCAGAAAGGTGAATGGTTTTAGTGAAGCCTTTGGGGGTGTGATCAGGTCATGAGGATTCCATTCTCATACAATTAGTGCCTTCATAAAATAGGTCAAAGAAAACTGGTTTGCCCCATGTATCATGTAAGGACACAGCAAGGAGGCACCATGCAGGAATCAGGAAACACCCTGTCAGACACAGAAAGAATCTGCTGCTTTTGTTTTGGACTTCCAGAACTTCACAACTGTGAGAAATAAATGCCTATTATTTAAGTCACCCAGTGCTCTGTTACAGAAGATTAAAACAGGGTCCAAACCTATGTGGTTATCTTCTACACTCCAATGGCTATTTGGACCTCTTTCAATAGCATCTATCATGTTTTTCATCTATGGAGTTTTCACTAAGTTTTTCATTGTTCAGTTCCCTAACAAGTAAGGGTCTTCTGCCAGGCATCTTGCTCTGTGCCTATGCTAAGTATAAAGGGAAATATAGAGCTCAGCTAATTGATAATTGGGGACAAGATGTAAACAGTTGTTTAATCTTACAGTAGGTGTGTTGTGTGTTCAGAGCTCTAGTCCAGCTTTATCTCTTTCTTTAGGAAATTACTTAACCACTAAGCTTCAAATTTCTCAGCTAAATATTAAGGATGTTTATTGAAAAGTATTCTACCTCTTGAAAAAGGAAATGTGGGGGCTGGGGATTTAGCTCAGCGGCATAAGCGCCTGCCTTGGAAGCAGGCAGTCGTGAGTTCGATCCCCGGTACCGATAAAAAGACAAAAAAAAAAAAAAAAAAAAAAAAAAAAAAAAAATTAAAAAAAAGAAAAAGGAAATGTGATCTGGGTGTGGCAGCACACTGTTGTAATCCTGGGGGGGGGGGGGTTAAGCAGCAAGATTCCTGAGTTCAAGGCCAGCCTGAACTATATAGGTAGATCATCTCAAAAAACAGAAGAAAAATAGAAAAGGAACAAGAAATGCACATAAAGTCCTTAGCATAAAGTCTTACACATAACAAATTTCCTAACAATCTTTATTGGTTATGATTCATCCTGTAGTAAAGAATCCAGACCACCTATCCACACCAGGTCCCCCTCACCACCATACACCCAAGGGCTGGGACAGGTTGGTGTTCCCTGCCTATCTCCTACAGAATCTACACAGGGGCATCCTATCAGATGAGAGGCCAGTTCATCCAAGAGATCTACATCAAACCTACCCCACATCTAAACCATGAAATGAATTTCAAGTTTCTTTCATCTGAATCTGAAGTTTTCTTTACATTTGCTTGGCTAAAAGCTTCTCATCCACCTTTACAATCTATAACCCACAGCTCAATTCCATTACCAGGAAGTTTTCCTGCACTCTCAATCCTGCCACACTACTTTCCACCTCCTTAGCAGACTGACTCAAAACCTGGCTCTTTTCTGGAAGCTTTCCTAGGAGCAACTGCAGTTTTATCACCACGGACTCCGGGCCTCTGCTAGTAGCGGTGAGCTAGGAAGCTCAGACTTGAGCGTCCTGAAATCCCATGAGCTCCTTTTAAGGTCCTAGGAGGGCACACAGGCCATGTTCATTCATCTGTTCTCAAAAAATTTGCAAGAAAAAGTTAAGCTGCATTTAAGACGCAGATTTTTCCACTCCAGCTTCCCTTCTGTCAATTTCCTTCTTGTTACATGAAATTATAGCAACAGAAGCCAGGTATGGTGGCATCTGTAATCCCAGCACTAGGGAGACTGAGGCAGGAAGATCCCAAGTTCAAGGCCAGCCTGTACTACTTAGTGAGATTCTGTCTCAAAGTCCAAAATTCAAATTAAAAAAAAAAAAAAAGTAGCTATCAATTCTGCCTTTGTCAGAGGTACATAATAGTTGATTGCTTCCTGCCAACAAAATTCTTTCCTCACTTGGTCTGTTTTTAAATTTCCTTCCTTCACAATGTGCTCCACTGAATCCTTTTTCCTACCCTTGGACCCTGGAGTAATTTGGGTCTTTTCTTCTTTGTGTTTGTCCAAGTCACCTGGTTTAGATCACACTGCAAAATATACTTTTAGGCAAACAAGTTGTGCATTTCCAGTCACAAATCCTCCTAGATTTCAGGTGAGAATTTATACAAATGCCTGTTGGAGAGCAGTACTTGGATGTCTAATAGGCATCTCAAACTTACCATTTTCAAAACTGAATTTTTGTTTATTAAACCGGTTTTCCAGTCATATCTCAATTTAAGTCAAAAATCCTTCAAGATTCCACCCTTTGCTCCATTTCCCAGATCCAATTCTTAAAACAAATCCCAACAACTGCCATCTAGCTTAATCAAGGCAAAGGTCATATGCCTAGGTTACTGGCCAACAGCTGTTTCCCTACTTGTACCCTTATCCCAACAAAACCTATAAAATAGGAAGGGTAGGGTAGTACACATCTGTATTCCCAGCAGGTTTATTCTGAGTTTGAGGCCAACCTTAGTCAGTGTTTCTCAGTGTGAACTACAGTGAGACCCCATCTTTTTTTTTTTTTCTTTTTCCTTTTTATCGGTACCAGGGATCGAACTCACAACTGCCTGCTTGCAAGGCAGGCACTTATGCCGCTAAATCCCCAGCCCCGAGACCCCATCTTTAAAACACACACACACACACACACACATATATAAAATGTCATTTTATGAACTGTATCCCCACCCTTTCTCTAATTAGGGTCTTACCAGGTTGCACAAGCAGGGATCAAACTTGAAACCTGCCTCCAGGAATGCTGAGATTGAATACCACTGCCAGTATCCAGTGAAATCCTTCTTTTTCAAGAAAGCCATTTAGCAGCTTTGTTCAGTCCAGAACCTTTAGTGCCCTGAAACTCCTGCATCATCCACAGGTCACAGCTACTTCTCAAACCTGGTCCGCTGTCACCCTGGAGCTATTGAGATACTGAGACTAAGACAGGCAGAGATTTAACAGGCTCCCAGTTGCTGGAAGCATTCAAACTGCAGCTTGTTTTTATTCCCAGTCTTCTCACCTACACTATGCTAAAGCCACTTTACCCTTTAACAAACCCTAAGCAAATGGCTTTCAAAACCATTATCTAGACAACTGGTAATCCACCCACCTTAAAAGCTCCAAATTTCTGCTTCAGGGGCAGCCTTCTTTCCCCAAAATCCTTCTTCAACCTTTCTACTTCCACTGCCCCAGGTCACAGCAGCATATCAATTATTCGGTGCTCAATTTTAATCTCAGCACACAGAAGGCTGAGGGAAGAGGATTACAGTATGAGGACAGCCTTGGCTACCAAGAAAGTTCAAGGACAGCCTGAACTGCAGTGAAAAAGACTCAAAAAAAGACATTTACCAAAATTTTTAACTGATGTAAAATAAACCCTGTATTTTAAAAACAAATTGGTTAAAATTATACCAGAGCTGGCATACACCTATAATCCCAGCAACTTGAGAGGCTGAGGCAGGAGGATCATTCAAGACCAACGTGGAATACGAACTGAGTTCAAGGACTGTCTGAATTGCAGAGTGAGACTCTGGCTCAAAAAGACAAAAAATAACATTCTGAAAAGGAGATTTCTATAAACAGTTAACTATACTACTCACATCAAAACACAAATGGAAAACTTTTAAATTTTTTATTTTATGTACAGAGAGTTTGCATGGTTTCCTTCACTGAGCAGATGTCCTGGATAATCCAGCGAAGATCAGTTAATCCAACTGAAAAAAAAACACACACACAATAAAAGACTTAAATGCTTTCAGCTTAAACTGGAATCTCTTAGAACTTGGCTCACTACTGAATATACAACAGAAATTAAGACGCACCCATACTCGAACTAAGCTGTTGAAGCATTTGCTGAATGCCCATTCTAAATAAAGGACTCTAGGAACCTCAACTGTATTTTTTAACTTTTTTAGCACCTGTATTTTTACTTCTTCGCTCAAAGTATTTCCCAATACAAAGCAACAAAAATTGTTTGTACCAAATATTCAGGATGGTTATAAAATAGATTAATTCTAGTTTTAGCCCTTGAGAAACTGAAGTCACAAAGCTAGTCGTATGGGTCAGCTTTACTACTCTCATCTGTGACATGTTCTCTCCCACTGAGTTACAAAAACTTCATGGTGGCACCTGGCATACCACCATTAAGCACTGGAAGAGCACCTAGATGGGCCTGGTGGTGCATGTCTATAATCTCAGCACTTGGCAGGCTGAAGCAGGCGAATTTAAGATCAGCCTGTGGGACAGCAGAGTGAGTGAAACTGTCTCAAAACTCAACAACAAAAAAAGTACATGAACAATCCTATCTTTTTCGGCCATTTTTTGTCTCCACTACATTACAGAAACCCTAACATCAATAACTTAAATTCTCGAACACAAAAGCTTTTGTTTCTGGCCTGTGTACTCTATGCCTGAGGCACTGGGAGTAGAACCCAGGCCACGTCTAGTCCTTTCTGAGACAGAGTTTTACTGAGTTGCTAAACGTCCAGGTTGGACTCAAATTGCAATCCTCCTGCCTTAACCTTCAAGTAAGCACTACCAAAGGTGGCTGATGTATTTTTTTGTATTTTTTATCGTTAGGCATTTCTCAGTACTCTATATAGAATAATCACGGATCAGAAAACTAGTGACTTTACTGCAAAAAGCCAAAAAGAAATTGCTTCTCATTTTAAAAAGAAATATAGTATTTAGGAAAATTTTAGAAGCCAAAAAAGTTGAAGATACATGATCCATGTTACACAACTATTAAAACAGCAGGTCCTTTTTCTACTGAACCCCAACAAGCTCTATGTGGCCCCAAAATCTTAAGTTTCAGGGCGTAACACTTTCGGCAGCTCACACGCATTAACTTGCTGGAAAATAAAATTAAACTACAGTGATGCCCGTAAAACGAGTCATTTTACCCAGTATAATACATAACATCTAAAACCTGCAAACGAAAAGGGGCTGGAAAGATTTGAGTCCGCCACTCTCCCTATTACACTGATTCCACTTCCCAAATCCTCAGGGGTGTCCCCCACTACTAACAGACCGGCTGGCCTAACAGGGACACGGCCCCCTCTGCGGCCCACCGTCGCCCCCGCGTTCCCTGCTCTAGCCAACATGGAGGCCGACTCGCCGCACCTTGATGAAGCCGATATCCTTCGCGTACTGGCGGAAACACTGGCGGCACATGTTCAGACCGTATTTTCGAATCAGACCGTGTCGGTTTGAGCAAACGCGGCTGTAAAAAGAAGACAGACAAGACATTATAGGCAGGCAGCGCGGAAGTCCACAACTCCACGCCGGCCGGCCACGAGCGGAAGGATAATGGCGGAACCCCGGGCCGCTTGCTCCCACGCGCCACTCGCAGGTTAGTCTACTTGGGAGTTCCAGCAACCTCCCGACTCAGAGCAGCCTTCCCTAAAACCACAATCTGTTCTCACCAGGAACGAGAGCCCTGGCCGAATTTCCTCGGGTGGCTCCAGTACAGTTGCTGGTGACCCATGTTGCTTCTAGAAGTCCTAGGAGGCAAAAGGAAGGAGCCGCGACACGCATGCGCTCTTCAAGCTTTTTCCGAGACACATTTTTACCCAGAATGCAGTACTGAAAGAACGCGTGCGCACTGTGGTAGCACTGTTACTGTGAGAGTTAATGAAGCGAAATCCCTGGCACATCGCCGGCGGGTTTGGGATGACGTCAGCGGAGCTCAGCCTCTAGTAAGCTCCTGCTGCACGAATCCACCGCCGGGCGTGGTGGCGCGCGCCTGTAGTCCCAGCTACTCGTGAGGCTGAGGTGGGAGGATCGCTTGAGTCCAGGAGTTCTGGGCTGCAGTGTGCTATGCCGATCGGGTGTCCGCACTAAGTTCGGCATCAATATGGTGACCTCCCGGGAGCGGGGGACCACCAGGTTGCCTAAGGAGGGGTGAACCGGCCCAGGTCGGAAACGGAGCAGGTCAAAACTCCCGTGCTGATCAGTAGTGGGATCGCGCCTGTGAATAGCCACTGCACTCCAGCCTGGGCAATATAGTGAGACCCTGTCTCTTTTGAAAAAGTTTAGAAAAGCAAAATACCTATCTCCAATAAACAAACATTAAATCCGGTCTTCAGCTATCAACGGAAGGGCTTACATTTTTTTCTAACTACTAATTTATACTTGAGAAACGGATTTTTATCTCAACTCAGCACTGACACCTATTGGAATAAATTCAAAAAACAACTAAAATCACTTGTAATGACTAGGAGTCAACAATAGGAGTTTCTTTTTAGTTATTCTTTTTCCTTTTGCTTCTATTTTATTGAACTGAATTATTTTTCAGGGCTTTTTTTTACAACTTCCTTAAGATATACATTCATACCATTTCAAAATAATAATAATAGTAACTCCAGCTTTGGGCTCTTACTGTATTTGACATGTAATGTGCTTTGACCAAATAATGAGCAATCCCTGCTCAATCGTTAAACAATAGAACATACTTTAAAAAAAAAAAAAAAAAGGAAAGTGTCCAAGATTTAAAACCAGGTATGACTTGATTTATGCCCTCAACACTTGCAAATCTAGCCAGGTGCAGTGATGCATGCCTGTAACCTCAGACTGAGGTGAGAGGATCAGGGCATGCTCAGTGCCACCCTGGACGGCGTAATAAGAGCCTATCCAAAAAAAAAAAAAATTTAAATAAGATTTGCAAATTGTGTCGAAAAGAGGATTCTGTCAAAGAGCCCTTTCTTCCAGTTTCAATTTTCATACCTCAATGCCGTTTATAGTATTGAGCAAGCAGACTACTCTGTAGAGGACAGCTCCAAAGAGACCTTGATTCCTCGCCCTCCAGGTTTACACAAGGTTACCCCCAGCACAGATCTTCCTCGAAAGCAGTTCGGCATGGGCTTAGTGTAGTCTGTCTGGACAGAGAAGAGAATGGGGCAGGCCACCATCTTGCTAGTGCCTTAGTATTTAGCTGCTTCTACACAGCACTGATTGCCACCCGTTAAAAGAAATGAGCATGCTGGGGCTGGGGATTTAGCTCAGCGGCATAAACGCCTGCCTTGCAAGTAGGTGGTCGTGAGTTCGATTCCTGGTACCAATAAAAAGGAAAAAAAAAATGAGCATGCCAGTCCTGGTTGCTGGGCTCCTCTAGGGACTGTCTAGCAGCACGGGGTGCTTATTGTCTTGGGATCCATGAAACATTTGAGTTTTCCTAGCTATCTCTAGAATATTTGTGACAATATGGGAATAGTATTCCACCACTCTGGAAAAGATACTTTCCAGAGGTTTAGTTGCAGATGCCAACAACTGGTGGTGGTCAACAAACTTGGAATTAGTATTAAATAGGCCCTGTGACTTGTAGTCAGGTCACAGTTTGGACTTATGAAATGTAAAATACCCTACCTACCTCCTAACTTCCAGTACTTTTTTTTTGGCGAGTCTTTTGAAACAGGTCTCTACCCAATTCAGGCTGGCCTTGAGCTCACTTTGTTGCCCAGGCTGGTCTGGAATTTGCAACGATCCTCCTGCCTCAGGCTGCAGAGTGCTGGAATTATAGGCATGCACTACCACACCTAGCTCACTTCCAGTATTTTCAGTGTCAGTACTCTCTGTACTATTAGAAGTAAAATTCTTAGCCTTTTAAGGTCTAATCAGGTTAGAAAACTAATTCCAGAAAACTCAATGCTGCTCCTGTAGGACCACTCCTGCTACCAAAATCCTTTACTATTGAGGGTTTTACAGAGGAACAGAACCAATACAGGAATATAGGCTGGGTAGGCAGATGAAAGAGGATTAACTAAGGTTATAGGCTCACAGGTTCAGAGCTTCTGCTGTCTGCAAACTGGAGACCCTAGGAACTAGTAACATGGCTCGGTCTATACCCAAAGACCTCAGACCTGGGAAGCTAAATAGTATAACTTGATCTGCAGCCAAAGCCTATAAACTGAGGGGCTTCAAATGTAAGTCTTGGATCACATAGGCTGGAGAACTGGGAGTTCTGATATTCAAGGGGAGGACAGCAACTCAGCTCCAGAGACAAGAAAACACTTTCATCTCTTTTTTTATTCTTTCCTTCTTTCCAAGTCCCTAGTTGATTGGATGGTACTGTTTGCATTGAGGGTGGGTCTTCCCACTTAGTCTATCCATTCAATCTCATGCCACCTCTCAAAGACATACTCAGAAATAATGATTTGCTTATTTCTGATTTATGTATTTTGTACATTTTATTAACATTTTTCTAGTAACAAAAATACAAAGTGATTAAAAACAGTGTTTAATTTTTGTTTGTTTTTATTAGTACACATTCACAGTACATAATAATTACAGCATGATGGAGATTTGGTACATGAACATAACACATTTCAATTCTTTTTACTTCCCCTGCTCCTTCCTTCCCTAGAAATCATGATTTAAAGCCAGGCATGGTTGTATATACCTATAATCATAACAATCTGGGAAACTGAGGCAGGAAGATTACAAATTCAAGTCCAGCTTTGGCAACTAACTGACTAGTGGGTTTTTTTTTTTTTTTTTTTTTTTTTGAGAGAGGTTCTTGCTATGTAGTTCAGGCTGGCCTTGCGCTCATTTTGTAGCCCAGATTGGTCTCAAATTCTCAAGGTCCTCCTGCTTCAACCTCCCAAGTACTGGGATTACAGGCATGAGCCACCACACCCAGCTCCTAAGAGACTTTAGCAATACCCTGTATTAAAAAAAATTTTTTTGAGACAGGGCCTAGCTATGCAGTTCAAGCTGCCCTTGAACTCACTTTGGAGCCCAGGTTGGCCTTGTCCTCACAGTAATCCTTCTGCCTAGCCTCCTGAGAGCTAGGATTACCAGCATGCACTACCACATCAGTTTTAGTTTTTTAAAGGATTGAGGATGTAGCTGACTGGGAAGGCCGAGTTCAATCTCCAGCACAGGGGGAAAAAAAAAAAAAAAGGATGGGGGCTGGGGATTTAGCTCATCGGTATAAGCATCTGCCTTGCAAGCTCGGTCATGAGTTTGATTCCTGGTACCAAAAAAAAAAACAATCCACTTGTTAGATTACTGTCCATTAATGTGTTTTCTTGTGTGTGTGTCAAAATCCTTGAAAAGATTTGCTTTCCTGTGACACTTTTACTCTTTCATTTTATTTTATTTATTTATTTATTTATTTTGGTCTTTTTGAGACAGTCTCACTATGCAATTCAGGCTGGCCTTGAACTTGTAGCAATCAACCTGTCTCGGGCTCCCAAATACTGGGATTACAGGCGTGCACTACTACACTTGGCTGTACACTTTTTTTATTTTAAATCTTGAATCCACCTAAAATTTATTTTAATATTCCCCAACACCAGAGAGAGAAAGCCAAATCTGCCCTTCCTAGATGTTTACACAAGTCATATGAACTGAATGTGAGTTTACTGTAATCTAGCACAATGCAGGCTCTCACAATATTTATTCAGTAAATAGTGGATATTTATATAATAAGTAGCATATTTATATATGCTGCTGACTTATTCATCCTGCAAACATACTGCACAGGAACACTACACTAGGCCCTGTCTACAGCACTGGTGATTCAGAGTCCAGGAAGCATGTAGTCTAGGATAGAAGAGGTGCATTATCTAAGTAGCCACACAGCAGCACTGGTGGTAAGATGGCCTAAATTTCCTCTCTTGGTGAATGCTGGGTGAAATATGACATGTTTTACAATCCAGGGTTGATTTTTTGAGAACAGGGTAACCCAAGGTCAAGGTTCAGACCAGGAACTGAAAAACTGCAGAGGCTCCCAAAGGAGGTTCATCCAGCTGAGAACCAGGCCCTGAATTCCAAAGGGAATAAGCGACAAACCTTTGGGCAGCTGTATTTAATTACATTGCCAAGTGTAGAAATCCATGAAGCTTTTCAGGAATAATACATGCAACATCCTACACTTGAATTGCAGCCTTTCTTGTTCTAATCTGTAAATTTATGGGTGAATCTCTTCACTCTAACCACAATTTTCTTTGTGTGCAGTGAGAAGGGAATTACAATTTCTGTAAGCTGTATTCCAGCTCCAAAAGTTCAAAAAGTTGGGCATGATGGTGCAGGCCTGTAAGAGTAGACTTGTCTGACCTAGAACATTGGAAATAGATCTTAGAGATATTTTTTGCAAAGGTAAATGTCATCTAAAATGTAATAATAAAAAAAAAACAGGCAAAGTGGCACACACCTACAATTCCAGTACTCTGGGAAGGCAGGAAGACCAAAAGTTTGAGCCTGTTGGGTGTGGTGGTATAAAACTGTGACCCCAAAATTTGGGAGGCTGAGACAGGAGGATCATCATGAGTTTGAGGACAGCCTGGGTTAGTGAATTCAGGCCAGCCTAAACTACACAGTGAGACTATCTCAACCCATATCCACCAAAAAAGTTTAGATGATAAAAATACTTGTAAAATTTTCATTTGGCTACAGTGTGGATGGTAGCTCACTATGTCAGCCTCCTATCAGATATTCCTACTGCTGGGCTTGTTCTAAATCCAAAGTTATTACTTTATTCACCACAGAAACTTTCTTAAAGAGATCTGAATTTTATGATGGTGCCCACCTAAAATCCCAGTGCTTTGGGAAATTGAGGCAAGAGGATCATAAACTAAATATATAAATGAAGATATCTTCTAAAACTTTCAGGCTGAACAATAAAGGCGTT